CCCCAAAACCCCAAAACCCCAAAACCCCAAAACCCCAAAACCCCATAAATATATATATGAATAGAATTATAAAATTTATTGGAGATAGTCAGGAAAGAATGGAAGCACTTTCACAAATTATGGTATATATGATTGGGACCTTCCTCACCTTCGGTGAGGTTAATAGACTCTCACTCACTTCAAAGAAAATGTTTGAACGGGCAGCAGAAGCCAAGAAATTACTTGCCAAGAGGGAAGTACTCAGAATATTTTCATCAGATCTGAAAGAGTTTAGGCTGATCACACCTTCTGTGTCTTATGAACTTGACACTAAGGATTATTCAGCTCCAAATCTGAGTGATGGCTATGATTGGGAGGCTTTATTGAAGGAAGGTCTTACCTTAGGCTGTGGCATGCTCAGAGATATTAAACCACAATTAATGAATAGCCTCCCCTCCTTTCATAGTCATAATTTTTCGAAGCTAGATACTAATATGCAAGAACGTCTTTTTGAGGAACTCAATCCAGTATCTACCAAGAGCGAGATTGTTTCACCAACAATTGATCTAGATTTGGATAATTTTAATGAATTAGAAAATATCTACCTATTGAACTTATACTATTATAAGCATAACTCAACTGTGGCAATGAACTCCCCAAAAATGACGAAGATTGCTAAATTCTTTGATTCACTTTCCTCTTACGTCAAATTCTATTGTAAAATTCAGAGAATCTGAATCATGAGTACTTACGATGAAGACAAGCCTCTTCAGTTCTTATATGAGTACTCCATTAGGTGGCAGGCCTACTCTAATTACCTTTGGGGCTTGTCAGCTCAGCTCGCCAAATTAGAGGAACAAATCAATGAGTGATATAACCAGAACTGGCCTGAAAGTACTCATCAGTTTAGATTGTATAAATTCATGACCAAAATTTGGAATGAAGAAGTTAACACCAAAGAGGTTATTTTCAACTTGAAAGACTGTTTTATCTCAACTCTGAACACCTATCACAAGGATTGTCTGCAACATTTGAGAGACAAGACAGTCAAGAAAGAGACTGTAGGGATGGAGACAGTACTCAAAATGTTTTTCCAGACTCTTATTGATTCTTCTATCAACCAAAACACAGTGCATTTTATTGGAAGCACTGATGTCACCTATGAGAAAATCTACAATACCTTTGAAACCACGTTTTTGAAACACTGAAGCGGCTTCTTGAAAACAGCCTTAGAGATGGGCTATCAGTCTAAAAATCTGAAAGCAGTTTGGTCTATTTTCGAAGAGTATTCTAAAATTGTCAAGGTCTTCACCCCTGTGAAGACTCAGAAGCAATTTGAGAAATCAAAGACGGAAATGACCGTAAAATTTATCAGATTTATCCTCTCTAAGAGGCTGAAACAGTTCTCTTCCTTCGATTTCACCAAGATTGAGGCCAAATGGAATGCTAGCTATGAAAGTACTATGTCACACGTGTTTAGTTCCCAGAACTCTGTATTTTTAAAGACTCTTTACAAAGGAATCAAAGAGATGAAATATGACGAACTAAAGTTCAAGAAGTATTGGCTGATCATGGCTGGCAAGGATTGTGACTTTCTCAGAAAGTTTTATGACAACACCCTAATGTCATACGATAAGCTCTCAAAAGCCTTCAAGGCACAAGATTTGAAAGTTAAAAATATCAAATACAAGATGGGTATCACCGACAAATTGGATGCTGAACAGATGAAATTCCTCTCTCTTATGAGCCCTATCCCTGATAAGTATGTTGAAGGAATCATCTCAGACTACCTTGGAAAGTACGAGAAGAGAGGCGTGAGAAGTATGTCTACCTGTGAAAACACTACCCAAGAACCCTCATGAATCACTAAAATTTTCTCAAAAGAAGAGAATAGAAAGACTGGAGGATCAGAGACTTGTGAAGACAGAGATACTCTTCCAGAAAGCGACTCTGCTAATGAATTAGTTAACGAATTCTCACAAATCTTCAAACCCAGCAAACAATGCTGGCTTGAGAGGACTAAGAGTATGAAGAAGCAGCAGAGGAAGGTTCTCTTCCACTCCTTGGCACAGGAGAGGAGAGCTTCCATGTAATCTTTGGCAAATATCCGCTAATTTATTTTAATTAATAATAACCTGATTTTATATAAACATTCTCTTATTGGGGTTTTGGGGTTTTGGGGTTTTGGGGTTTTGGGGTTTTGGGG